GCGACCACGCGTGATTCAGCCACACCGAATATATGAGAAATAGTAAAAGAAACGAGTTCGAAATCTAGCATTAAAATAGCGAAGAAATATCGAATATACGACAGATAATTGCCTGTTCAATGATACTGGTTCGTATGAATAATCACCCGGTGATACTAGCCCCGTTTAAATCAATTAGAAAGCAATGCAGGGGGATAGCACATCGAAACACGCGGATGAATTTATATAAGCGGTTAAATTAGGTTTATTCAAATTTCACGGTATTTCGATTGAAGATTTAAAAAGAGAGAAATATGAGAAATATGTCTTTCTATTGATTTACTGTGATCCTTAGCGACAGATTACTGACTAAGTAATTTGTTTTCAGGATGGAACGACTCCTTTAATATTGGCCGCCGCCGGAGGCCACGTTGAAGCGGTCACCGAATTGCTACAACAAGGGGCGGATCCTAATGCCAGACGGCTGGTAAGTCCTGAGCACGGTTCATGAATGAACTAAAAATGAATGAAACCCGTTGAACGTCCTGGCAACCCTGTTACCCACTGAATGGAAATACTATTTACGACTATTGGAAGTTACAGTTCCAGCTGATCTGTTCCACCGTTTTGTAATCTACTCGAAGATCTTTTTCCCCTAAGCTTTTAAAAAAGTCTCAGTATAGACTCGAGAGAATATCTAAAGTATTCTAGAGATGGATTTTTAATAATTGGAGACTCGCGCTCTATAGATATTAGATTGCTGAATAAGTTCTATCCACCTCTTTATTCGTATAACTATCTATGTTATAATTAGATTCTAGATGATCACGTCTTTTCGGTAAATTTAAAGATGCCAAAGTCCACGTAATATGTATATGTATAACATTTAAAAATATATAAAATAAAGTACCTATTCGACAGATGATGAAATTTTTTATTTGACTCCAGTTATTTAGTATTTTTTCTTTAAAAATACAAAATATAAAAATTAGTTGTAATATAAAAAATAGAACTGTTTTTCGTAATGTTTCAACGGTTTCTGCAACTTGGAAGATAAAATATTTTCATTATCATTAATCAAGAAGATAATGATTTTCATTGGCAAGAAGTAAATTTATTAGTAATAACGAGAAAGATTATATAGTTTCGAGGTCGTAAATGTAGTAAATCAAATTTATCTCTGATTTACTCTAACAAATAGAACTTATCTAGCAATCTAATACAACAATACTTGCAATATAAAGTTTCACAATGCATATGCTCGAATCTAAACTAGCTTTGTTAATGTCTCTGTATTTATCTCGTTAATCTGTATCGTACGTTAATATCCCATTCGTACTCGATAATAAATCTTTTATTGTAAATTGCGTTATGTTCTCGATGATTATAATCACACGCTGACGGGAGACTAATGCATGCGAGGAGAGAAAAACAAACGTGCAGTCTTTCTATATCCTCTCTATTTTTTCGAAAATAGAAACGGGAAGAGGCGAGATCTTCTTTAGCCTACTCGTATAGAGCTCTTGGGAAGTACGTGTGACATAAAAAGCTCGTCGCTTGTAACACGAGGCACCAGGAAGCGGTCGAGTGGCCTTTTTTAAGTGGCTCGCGACGATTTATCGCTGAGCCCACGTATACTCTGCCATCGAGGATCACGGTATTGTATGCAAATCCGGATGAAACACCGGGGCACTGTCGCGATTTTCGGCCACAGAACGTGCCCACAGAACTTTTTAAATTAATTTTTTAAATTAATTAGGAAACAGTATCTTCATCGCGTGATTAACATCGATTAACTCATCGATAA